AGAGGTCGCAGCAGCCTTTGCTGCAGTTGCTGCTGCAGCTGTTGCTGTTGCTGCTGTTGCTGCTGCTGCTGCTGCTGCTGCTGCTGCATGCGTACCTGCAGCAAAAGGAGAGACAGGCAAATCAGCTGCTGCAGCAGCAACATCATCCTCTGCTTCAGCAGCTGCTGCTGCGCTTGCTGCAGCAGCAGCAGCAGCCGTTGCTTCTGCTTCTGCTTCTGCGTCAGCAGCAGCAACAGCAGCAGCAGCAGCAGCAGCAGCAGCAGCAGCAGCAGCAGGAGTGGTGAGCATCGATTGAGGTGTACGTACACCCTGCTGCTGCTCCTGGGATTGCTGCGGGCTCAGCGCCAGCACCACAGTAGCTTGTGAGTCGCTATCAGATTNGCTGCTGCTGTTGCTGCTGTTGCTGCTGCTGCTGCTGCTGCTGCTGCTGTTGCTGCTGCTGCTGCTGTTGGTGTTGGTGTTGGTGCTGTTGATGGGATGGTGATAGCTGCTGCGGTTGCTTCTGCAGAAGCAGAGACAGCTGCAGCAGCTCCTGCTGCTGCTGCTGCAGTTGCTGCTGCTGCTGCTGCTGCTTCTGGGCGGTCTTTCGGGGGTTCTGTTGATGCTTCCGGTGCAGCAGCAGCAGCAGCAGCAGCTGCTGCTGCTGCTGCTGCTGCTGCAGGTGGTGTGTCAGCTGCTGCAGCGACAGCAGCAGCAGCAGCAGCTTCATCTGTTAGATCTTCCGCAGCAGCAGCAGCAGCTGCTGCTGCTGCTGTTGCTGCTGTTTCATCTGCTGCAGTTGCTGCTGCATCTGCTGCTGTTGCTGCAGCATCTGCTGCTGTTGCTGCAGCAGGAGATGCAAACGGCTCCTCAATCAGCCAGGGTATCTCCTGCTGCTGCTGCTGCTGCTGCTGCTGCTGCTGCTGCGACAGCTGCGAGTCGTTACATAGCTTCTCCCACAGAGGCAGCAGCNCTGCTGCTGCTGCTGCTGCTGCTGCGACAGCTGCGAGTCGTTACATAGCTTCTCCCACAGAGAAAAAAAAAGCAGTGTTGTCTTGACTAGCAGCAGAAAGAAAAGATACTCTGCGTTGCTGTATGCTGCTGT